TTGTTATTATTTATATAGTCATGGAAAGTAAATAATACATGGAAGAAATGAAAGGGGTTTTTTTAAGTGGTTTTTTTTTTAAAAGTCATCCCTGCCGGGGCCTCGTCGAAACTGTTTGAATTGGGCCCCGCTTTCCTAAAGCCGGCCCTGAGCGCCGCCCCCAGTCCAACTCCACCTTGCCCCCAGCCCCATCCCTGCGCTCATCCTAGGGTGACCAGATGTCCCGATTTTATAGGGACAGTCCCGATTTTGGGGTCTTTTTCTTATATAGGCTCCTATTACCCCGCCACCCCCGTCCCGATTTTTCACCTTTGCTGTCTGGTCACCCTACCTCATTCCCTCTCCATCCCCTGACCAGCTCTGCCTCTAGCCCCAGCTCCTACCCCTTCCACCCCCAGCTCCACCTTCAGCCCAAGCTCCGCTGCTGAGGAAGACTTGGTTATGCAGTAATGGAGAGGGGGGTGGCAGGGGAGGCACGACTGGAAAAGTTTGTGCACCATTGCTCTAAACCCACGATTCATGCTATCGAGGGCCTGGTTACTGAAGAATGGTACATGGTGTACAATATGCATGACATTGCTAAGCTGTTTAAGCAAACAAGTAAAAATGAATGAACTAACTGCAGTAAGCAATTTGATGGCAAAGGAAAACCAGCTTGCTAAAGAAATTATTTGTACCGCTTATGGGAATTATGTTTTAACTGCCATAACCGTTTCATTAGGAAATACTGAAAAAGGGAAATTACCAGACCTTATAAATGAAGAGCATTTAGCTAGGTGGAATTGTCCTCAGCGGATAACAAAACTATGGTGAATTGGCAATGCATTAAATTATGCAAACAAATCCCCTTTAGCACAATTCATAATTAGGGTCAGTGACACCACATCCTAACTGAAGCTCATGTTATTCAAAACAATCTTGCACAGTATCTGGTTCTTTAAGGTATCTTGACCCATACGAATCTTACCAGCAATATTTAATAAAGTAGCTACTGTCCATTCAGTAGATTACCTGGAAGAGAGCATCTACAAGGAATGTCTGAATCTACCTTAGCCACTGGTGCATCACTCAGTAATATGAACCTAAAGGATATTACACACCATTAAGGGATATGGATATGTATGCTGATGTGAAGTTTTTGACATCATGATGTGTGTGTGTGGCCATGATGGCTTGAACCAGTACAATGAGAGAGAGAAGCTAGCCACTTCTGTCTCCTACCCAGTTAATCTTATCAGATGGCGATAACCAACAATAAGAGTGACCTATAATATGAATGGACAGTACTGTGTGGTAACCAATTACAATAAATGCATGTATAGAAACCTTGTTTGTAATGTCACTACTCCAAATTTTTGTTTTACTCACATATGTAGCAATGTAGGACACACTATAACAATGCCTATCCCAGTTTTCCCAGAATAAAGCCATAACACAAAGTGAGCCCCAGTACCACGTAGAAATAAAAAGTATCTGTCAGTTTTTAATGTGCATATTGACCCACTTACCTTAAATTTTAAAGTATTAAATCAAAAAGACATGCACATTATTCAAATTAGCAACAACATGCACAAGGCAAAAACAAGCCTTGACTGACCTTATCCATGATGGGGATTTTAAAATATTTATTTCCCACACCTGGTCAGAAGATGCATTTAAAGCTTTGCATGCATTGCAAGATGTTTTAGTTTTAGTTGTGCTGATTATATATTACTGCTGATGCAGTGTGTTGAGACATAAATTGCATACTAATTGTGTGTATATATATATATATATTGTGTGTGTGTGTGTGTGTGTGTCTAGCAGCTATGCAACCTCAACAGGTGTATGTCTTTCTATAATTCTGTTCATTTATGCTAAGTATCCCGTAATACTTTGGGAGCCTAAAGTCAACTTTTGAATTAGAAAACAGGAAACTTGTCAAAGACAAAATACCTTCATGGACCAGTACCTGGAATGCTAGTATCCAAAACAAACATAAGGAAGGTAAAGGTACAGAACAACGAGTTAATGAACTGGTATGAAGTGATGGGTTAAATTTTAGTGTCACATAACAAAATTTGTAACTCGTAAAATCATCCTATAAA